AACTCCCAGTCCATAATGCAAGAATAAGTGACATTCAATGAAGCTGAAAGGCAGCAGACTCAAAAGCGACAAAAAGAAATATTTTTTCAAGTATATTATACAATGTACAATTAGTCTGTAGAATTCATTGCCACATGATATAGATTAAAAGATATGCAGCTTTTACTACCTGAAGGGACCATTATAATCATCTAGCCTGACCTGATGTACAAGATAGGCCAGAATCTCTGGTTGAACAAGAGCATATCTCAGAAAGATAACTGATCTTGACTTGAATATTTCAAGTAAAGGAAAGTCAACTACATCCCTAGACAAATTGTTCCAATGGTAAATTTCTCTCACTCTTAAAAATCTGCACATTATTTCCAGTCTGAATTTGTCTAGCTTCAACTTGCAGCCATTGGATCTTGTTATGCTTTTGGTACTGAGGCCAAGAGCTTAGCCAGACAGAAAAAGGGCGAAGACATTCATATGAATACAAAGAATATCCAGAATTATACCCATAAATATATTTTTAAACAAACAAGAGTTTTGGAAGGAATATTAAACCCTTCTGTTTCAGACCATAAGCCAACTCTGACTATTGACAGTTAGGAAGAAACTTATCCCATAGCCATCTACTAGGGTTTCTTGCACCTTCCTAAGATGCATATATTTATGAGGACTACTTTTGTATTCTTCTGATTGTGTAGCCAAAAACACCCATGGCCCTGATTCTGCATTTTTTACTTCAATGGGTATAGAATTGGGCCCAATACTTGAACCTCAGAAGGACTCAGATGAAGCCTTTAAAAATCTCTACACATTATTTGCTTTTCTGTACCTAAAAGAGCCATGACGCTAGAGTTTTTTACCCCTGGGAAGTTCCAGAGTAGGAAGTAAGTGCTATATGTTCCACTGAGAAGCTGGGAATATCTTCTTTTCAATGGAATAGAGCTCTAATTTCTAACTCCACAAGACTGCTTGATATACTTGTCTTTAAAATCAGCAAATTTGTATGTACAGAAAATCCAGCACCACTGAAGGACTGGATCTTCCTGTCCTGACCCTCAGCTGTACACAATTTTGTGAGGGGAACTCCACATCTCAAGGAGAAGGTCTGAAAGAAACATTTCACTGTCCAGTTGAGATTTTGTTTGTTTTTTAAATGGCGGTTGTTTGAAGATGTTCAGCAGTATGGAGTGTTAAAACATGTCCTGGGGAGATGGAGTGATGGGCAGAGGCCAGTTGAAGTGGGCAAAGATGAATGATACATTTATTTCTCACATGACTGGGATTTATGACATGGACATCACCTCCATACCAACCATGAAAGTGGAATAAAGATCCCATCAACCACCTTCTCCTTTGCTCAGGGCTAACTTTACTTTAAAAGAAGAGCAACTAAACTCAAAATACTGGTACTAACACGCACACCCTCCCTCTGCCTCCACAGCACCAAGCCTTCTCCAGTTCCCACCGGCTGGGACAGAAGAGGCCATACCCTTCCTGCCTGCTATGTAAAGACCCACACTAGAACTTCCCTGACCCTGTGTCTCTCATGCCCACTGTCCCTGTGTAGGAGGCAGAAAACCTTCTATATGGCTTCCTGTTGGCCCATAGGCTCCCCTACTCACAGAACTGCAACTACAGCTCCCACTTTTAAAGGGTGTGACAGGGTCGGGCCAGATGGCTATAGGAGAGAAATAGAAGGCAGATATATTAGCCCCAGGTTAAGTAGGTCCCTTTTCCTTGGGTAAGGTAACAAGGAAGGTTCCAGAACAATCAGGAACCTTCTGGAGACAATTAAGACTGACAGGCTGATTAGAACACCTGCAGCCAATCAAGAAGCTGCTAGAATCAATTAAGGCAGGCTAATCAGGGCACCTGGGTTTTAAAAAGGAGCTCACTTCAGTTTGTGGTGTGCGTGTGAGGAGCTGGGAGCAAGAGGCACTAGGAGCTGAGAGTGAGAACGCGGACTGTTGGAGGACTGAGGTGTACAAGCATTATCAGACACCAGGAGGAAGGTCCTGTGCTGAGGATAAAGAAGGTGTTGGGAGGAGGCCATGGGGAAGTAGCCCAGGGAGTTGTAGCTGTCGCACAGCTGTTCCAGGAGGCACTCTAGACAGCTGCATTCCACAGGGCCCTGGGGTGGAACCCAGAGTAGAGGGCAGGCCCGGGTTCCAGCCAAATCCTCCCAACTCCTGGTCAGACACAGGAGGAGTCAACCTGGACTGTGGGTTCAGAAAAACGGCCAAGCTGAGGGCTGCCGTGAAGCTCCAAGGTGAGCAAATCTGCCAATAAGCGCAAGACCCACCAAGGTAGAGCAGGAACTTTGTCACAAGGGCTATTAACAGGGCTGCATTTACAGGTTACACACCCCTAGGCACAGCACCTTCAATGCCCTCCCGCCTACAGTTGACCTCCCTGTTGCACGCAGTTTTAGAGAGGTAAGGCGCCCCTAGACACATGCCTACTGTGCCTAATGGGAAATCCAGCCCTGGTTATTATAGGCATGGTAGAAGGCACACATGCACCCGGAGGCCTAAGGCCCTGTGACAGCTATACTGGTTGTTTACAAAAGAACTAAAACAGAAGTGGCCTTCCATGAATGTTGACCTGCAAGATGAGGCACTGTTGACACCATGGTGATGGACATGGTATAGTAATGCACTAATGCAGAGAGAGCAAGAGACAGAAAAAGAGATGACAGGAAACAGGATCAGGGCTGGAGAAGGCAACAGCTGATTGGGGTTTCTGCCAACAGTAGAGTAAGCTGGCAGGTGGCTAAATGCTTGCATTCCCCCATCCCCAACCCAAGGCTTTGCCCCTGCCATTTGAGCTACCCCCACAGCTGCCATTTTTTCAGCACTACAGCTGCTCACAAAGACCAAAGCATTTTTTTTAATGGAGTAAGTGTTTGTTTTCCAGTCTCCACTCATTCAAAAATGTTTGAACCATTTCCCCTAAAACTTCTAAATAATTCATCTTCAGGCAGACAAGGTCTGGAAAATGGCAGCTTCTATGCTGAATATTTCAGGGTTACAAGTGACTCAGAGCAGCATTTAGGATGGATATGCTGGGACACCCTTCACTATAGCAGTCACCAGTGCTCCAGGAATAGTATGTATAAATAAATAAATAAGAATACTCTAAACCAGGCAAAAATGGCTGGCCTCAGTTTTGTTTTGACAGATTTTGAATTTCATGACTGTTGCATTTGAGCAATCATTCATGAGTTTGGAGGTAGATTAGAAACCTACCTACCTACCTGATTATTCTTTTGAAATGAAATCTAACTGCAACTACATGAGCAAACAGGAATTAACAGAATGTTTGCTGAAACCGCAGAGTTCTAGTTTTTATGTACTTTCCCATTTCAGATCCTATAAAGTTCTGCTAGAAAGCTTTCAGTATTTCTCAGTTTCATGGTTGAGGAATTTGCCACAAAATCCACCCTTTATAGCATATTTTTCAAAGAGTATCTATACTTTCATTTTTTTTAAATGGGGTCATGTCCTGGTGTAAAATGGCATAGCTTCGTTGATGTCAATGAAGCTATGCTAATTTACACTAACTGACATCTAGCCCACTCTTTGCAAAGAATCTTAAAACCTTACTGCCCATAAACTTGTAAACCAATAAAATGTTGCCTTGCTAAATCTGCAAAGAGCCTGAAACAACAGCACTGAGAACTGTTAAACTGTCATCACTGGGCTTCACATTAACTGTCAATATTGCTAAATGTTTCATGGATGATGTGAGGAAGGGTGGGCCAGGAGAACTAGGCTCAATTCTTGGCTTTGCCACAGATTTCTTGTGTGACTCTGTGCAAGGGTATGTCTAGGCTACAGTGGCACAGATGCGTCTTACATTGTTGGAAGGGGGTTTTCCATTCACATAGGTAATTCACCTCTCCAAGAGGAAGTAGCTAGTTCACAGAATTCTTCTGTTGACCTAAATGCATCTACAGTGGGGATCAGACTGACCTAACTATGTTGCACTGTGGATGGATTTTTTCACAGCCCTGAGCAACGTAGCTAGGTTGACCTAAGATTTATGGGTAGATCAGGCCTTAGTCATTTAATCTGTCTCATTTCCCATTTTTAAAATAGGAATAATAGTACTTCTTTTTACCCACCTTTTGTCTCCCTCAGGTATTTAAATTGTATAAAAAAATTTATAATGTGTCTACACAGTGCCTAGCATTGATCTCAGTTCGGCCTCTGGACATATTATAATGAGATAATAATAAGATTTTACATCATGACAGACCTACAGATGCAAGAATCTTCATACTAAGAGATTTGGAATCTGAACGAGGTATGGGCAAACAGCATCTGCACTGGCCAAAAGAAGTACCCTATGGAGCTGGAAATCAGCAAGCAAATTAAGCACTGCAGAATTATATAATGAACACAGTGACCTGGCAAATGCAGGAAAAAATAACGCATAATACAAGAGTGGTGCCTGAGGATTTGGAGAACCATCTTGTCTTTGCATCTGATCCTGCAAACAATTTTCCACATGCTTAACTTTGCTCACATGAGTAGTCCAATGTGGGACTAAGTATGTGTTTAAGTTTTTGCAGGATCAGGGCCTACAAGATTATTTATTTTCTGACTAACATTTCTCATTATTTTATTTCCTTTTTAATCCAATCTTAAACTGAACTCTTAACAGTATATTTAATGTGCTAAATAGACCTCTACTGTCTTATCTCCTTTTCCTCTTCTTTTTTCTTAAAAACCTCAAAGAATAATATTTGTAAATGAAAGAGAGGATTATTTCCTATAGTAAAGACTCATAAATTAGAGATGGGTGAGAACTACTGAACTGAGTCATTCAAATTTGTCCTCCTCCAAGGAAGGGTGTTTCCCCGCCATGTATTCTTAAGCACCTCGGTCAGCCTATCAATGGAGCTTCCACTAGTTCTTGAGTGAGATGGCTCCACAGCCCAATACATCACACTTAGGATGTTTTTCCTGATTCAACCAATAGTACCATTTCCCATGTCATACCTTCATTGGTCTCTTCAGGGCTTCCTGAATGTCCACCCGCTTCCTCATAATGGTCTGGTCCAGTTTGCGTTCAAAGGCTAACAGGTCCATGTAGGCCTGGGACTCAGGAACCAACTCCCGGATCTGAGGAGGAAGCAGGGAATATCCAAACACTGGAGGCAAGGAATTCATCATATTCCAGGAACAGTAATACTTATATCTGTCCAGACCTTAGAGAGAGGGTTTGCTTAGCAGAAGTGATTGTCTCTAGGCAATACAAAGCATTTTAGATTTGTCTTTGTTTAAACTACGGTCTCTCTACACTAGAGGAAAGGCACTTTTAAAAACAACTGTGTTACCTTACACTTTTTAAAACCCTAGTATACACCGGGCAAGTTGTAGGTTAAGGTGTTAGCCTGCTGAGATGAACCCCAGGCTCCTCCAGAGTCTTTAATATGACCAGCTAACAAGTGTTAACATGCAACTTGTCCTGCTTATACTATGGCTAGCTATACTGGCTAACACACTTTTTAAAAACATATCTTTTCCTAGTCTAGAAAAGCTCTAAGAGGAGCTGGCAAGGAGTAGGGCATGAAGAGAGGGAGACAAGAAAGAGGGACACAGAAAAAGAGAAAGAGAAAAGAGAGATTTGAACAAGTGAGCTGGATGCTTGGCAGGGTCCTCCCCTTAGGCTGCAGAGCCGACAACTGGAGCTGGTTCCACATATCCTTCAGCAGAACCTTTGTAGCAGTTCCTCACTCCCTGCATGCATATGGTCCCCATTCCATGCTACTGCACAGGGGACTCCAGGGAGCTGATGGGGTATGCAACACCCCACACCCAACGTCCCCACTTGATAAGAAGAACCTGGTTCCATAGGCATATGATTTTCCTCCTGGGATGTGTTCTACACTGGGAAAATGCAGCACCAGAAAACGTGTAAGCTAACATGCTGTTAAACATGACTTAGCACCTAGTGCAGACAAGGATGAGTCGGGTTTTAAAATTTGTTCACTGGACCCTATGATTAACCATGACCAGCAAATTTGTTTTTAAACTTGACTAGCCCTTCCTATACTAGATGTTAAGTTGTGTTTAACATCACATTAGTCAGCACATTTTCTAATGTGATGTATTTTCCCCGTGTAGAAATACTCTTAGAGCGTGGACACAGACTATCTACTCCTGGCAATACCTGATCTGTGGATAATTGTGAGGCAGGTAGCATTTTAAGACTTGGAGATGTTTCTGATTAACTGTGCCTGACCAGTTGGGTTAAACAAAACACTTGAATAAGTGAGTCCAGACATGGAGTAAATTAGGAACAATTATTCAGGAACAACTCCATGTGCGGACAAGCCCAAAGAAGAAATGGGTTACAAACAATTCCTAGGTTTCAGAGTAGCAGCCGTGTTAGTCTGTATTCGCAAAAAGAAAAAGAGTACTTGTGGCACCTTAGAGACTAACCAATTTATTTGAGCATAAGCTTTCGTGAACTACAGTTGCATCCAATGAAGTGAGCTGTAGCTCACGAAAGCTTATGCTCAAATAAATGTGTTAGTCTCTAAGGTGCCACAAGTAAACAATTCCTAGTTTAGTCTCTCTTGAGTCTTCTTGTCCATTTCTAATACTCGCCCCAGTTCTCAACTAAGCAGCAAAAATATTTAACAGCTAAAATATTTCTGTACTACAGCAGTAAAGGTAACTTGGCCAATATTTGCCACCTGTTACTGTTTATAATCTGGGTTATACAGTTTGGATTTAGTATATCACACAAATACATGGGAAATGGATAGCATGGGCCTAGAAGGCATTACTACCAGGCCAAAGATTATACATTACTACACTTTCTGACAGGTGTTTCAGCATACAGCATATCTGGTACAAACAGGTTCATTTCACAGGAAGTAACTCCTGTCAGGCCTCCAATCAGTTGCTGTTACAGAAATACCATAACAAAGACTGGACTGTGCCACTAACCCTGCCCAAATCTTTATTTCTGCCATTCCTCTAGTTCCAGGCCAGCTCATCATTCCAGGTCTTGCAATGTAGGAGAACACTCATTAATTCAACCATTCAAGTCATATGTTGCACAAATCCTGGCATCCCCTCATCCATCCTGTGCCATTGTTTGGTTGGGGCTGAGCCCTGAGTCCCCCTAATTCATTCCCTTGCACTGTATATGATGTGTGGCAGAGCCTCATGACTTGCTAATAAGGCCTGGAGCCAGAGAAGTACCTTTTCTTTGTCCCATTAAGCTCCATTCATGTTTAGCTGTGATACAGACTACTTAAAATTGTCATTTCTCTTATCTGACATTCTTCAGGAAAATGTTAGCAACATGTAAATAATAACTGAACATGAACATTCTGATGAACCACACCCACTCCACCACAGCAGCAGCACACACTGCACTGGGAACACCCAGGAGCCTCATCAATGGTTTAGATAATGACATGAAAAGTACACTAATAAAGTCGGTGGATGATACCGAGCTGGGAGGGGTTGCAAGTGCTTTAGAGAATACAAAATGATCTATGAGGGAAGATTGAAAAAAACAGGGTTTGTTTAGTCTGGAAAAGAGAAGAATGACAGGGGACATGATAACAGTTTTCAAGCACATAAAAGGTTGTTACAAGGAAGAAGAAAAATACTATTCTCCTTAATCTCTGAGGCATAGGCCACGCCAGGGGGATTGAGGGTCCGGAGAAGGCAGCAGGGACCAGGAGCAAAGGGAAGGAGTGGGGCTTTGGGCAGCTGTGGTCAAGAGGGTGTTGCTGGAAGGTGCCTTGGCAGCCACCGGGAAGTTGACTGTGACTGTGGTGGCGAGGGGGGAAGCTGCCATTGTGCCTCCCCCATCGGCAGTTACCAGTTGCCTACGCGCTGAGGATAGGACAAGATGCAATAGACTTAAATTGCAGCAAAGGTGGTTTAGGTTGGACATTAGGAAAAACTTCCTGTCAAGGTGGTTAAATACTGGAATAAATTGCCTAGGGAGATTGTGGAATCGCCATCATTGGAGATTTTTAAGAGCAGGTTAGACAAACACCTGTCATGGATGGTCTAGATAATACTTAGTCTTCCCATGAGTGCAGGGGACTGGACTAGATAATCTATCGAGGTCCCTTCCACTCCTACGATTCTATGATACAGGTGCCTAACTTCATAAGCCCATATCATGTGGGCTTAAATCAAGACTGGATGTTTTTCCAAAATATATGTTCTAGTTCAAAGAGGAATTATTTTATGGAAATTCTATGGCCTGTGTTATGCAGGAGGACAGATTAGAGGATCACAGTGGTTCCTTCTGGGTTTAGAATCTATCATTTTAGAATTGGAACTGACCCTCTCTTTCAGCCCCTCAACATTATATCCAATATCAGAGAAGGGCTAGGGTCTGGGACATCCTGAGTTAATCCTCCACCTCTGTGTCTGATAGTGGGAGCAATGCCTGGTACCTCTTGCATTGTGTCTACCATGAGGATTGAACCCTAGGGCCCCAATCCATCTACCTATCTGATGAAGCTGTAGTGCAACATGGCCAAAAAGAAAAAAAATGCCAACGTCATTGTGGGCTACAGAAACCTCATGTCCCTGGCCAGGACTGTCCCTCTCTATATGTCCCTAATGCAACTTAACCTGGAATACTGGTTTTATTCTGAGTACATTATTGCCAAAGAGATATTGAAAGAGTGGATGGAGTTTAGTGAAGAACAGGAAAAAATATTTTAGGTGCCTGGAGTGGCAGAGTTATCGGGAGAGAGTCAAGGAGCTAACGCTGTATATTTTGGCTATGATTACTTAAGTTGGAGAGGGAGGCCTGATGACAGTTATGATTGTAAGATTTATTAAAAAAACAAGGGTGTTGGAAGGGACCTAAAACCTCCTGCTTCAGGGCATAAGCCAACCTCTAACTAGAGAGGGTTAGGAGAAAACTGTCTTTGGAAGCAGGTTATCCAACAGCTGCCTACCGCAGGTTTTCTTATACCTTCATCTGAAGTAGTTGGTACTGAGTCTATCAGAGTCCAAATACTGGACTAGAATGGACCATTTTCTGAACCAGTATACCACTTTCTCTGCTAAGATGAGAGTAATATTGAATAGAATAACTGCATGAACAGAATTCCAAGTAGCAGCAGCCTTGTAATTTAGGTAGTTAACTATAACTCAAGATAGGTAAGTCCAAAGCAGACTGTGAAGAGTTACAGAGGGATCTCTCAAAACTGGGTGATTGGGCAACAAAATGAAAGATGAAATTCAATGTTGATAAATGCAAAGTAATGCACATTGGAAAACATAATCCCAACTACCCATACAAAATGATGGGATCTAAATTAGCTTTTACCACTCAAGAAAGAGATCTTGGAGTCAGTGTATATAGTTCTCTGAAAACATCCACTCAATGTGCATCAGCAATCAAAAAAGCTAACAGAATGTTGGACATCATTAAGAAAGGGATAGATAAGAAGACAGAAAATATCATATTGCCTCTATATAAATCCATGGTACACCCACAACTTGAATACTGGTGAAGATGTGGTCGCCCCATCTCAAAAAGATATATTGGAATTGGAAAAGATCCAGAAAATGGCAACAAAAATGATTAGGGGTATGGATCAGCTTCCATATGAGCAGAGATTAATAAGATTGGGACTCTTCAGCTTGGAAAAGGAATGACTAAGGGGGGATATGATAGAGGTTTATAAAATCATGACTGGTATGGAGAAAGTAAATAAGGAAGTGTTATTTACTCCTTCTCATAACACAAAAACTAGGGGTCACCAGATGAAATTAATAGGCAGCAGATTTAACACAAAAGGAAATATTTCTTCACACTATGCACAGTCAACCTGTGGAACTCTTTGCTAGAGGATGTTGTGAAGACCAAGATTATAACAGAGTTCAAAAAAGAACTAGCTAAATGGAGGAAAGGTCCATCAATGGCTATTAGCCAGGATGAGAACGGATGGTGTCCTTAGCCTCTGTTTGCCAGAAGCTGGGAATGGGTGACAGGGGATGACGGATCACTTGATGATTACCTCTTCTGTTCATTCTCTCTGAAGCACCTGGCATTGGCCACTGTCAGAAGACAGGATACTGGGCTAGATGGACCTTTGGTCTTACCCAGTATGGCCGTTCTTATG